ACTAGCTGCCGAAGGCAGTTTTCACGGAAAAGAATGCTACTTGCATATACAATCCACGAAAGGTATCGACTTTCGACGAGTGCTCAATCCGCAAAAGGTCATAGCACAGCACTCTCGAAAATGGTTTTTAGTCCGACAGAATTATATCGCTGTTGTCGAATCGCCGGCAACTATGAATATTTATGATGTTTATCTCGTCGATCCGCTTTTCCGCGTCGTATCTAAGAAGAACAAGCTCAGACGTTTCGGGGCAAAGTTGAAAGTCGAGAAAGATAGAAGAGATAATGATGATCACCTTACTGATGAAGAATCTCATGGGAAACACCACACGCTGAAGCTATATTCTGCAGAGCGAAAGATCAAGTTGTTCTCCCGTAATCAGACAGTACTTCGTCAATTTGAAGAATCTGTTGTTGATATGCTAAAACAGACTCAGTGGCACGAACCTCACAGATTTGACAGCTTTGCACCAGTACGGAAGGCAGCATTTGCTCAGTGGCTAGTCGATGGGCGCGACTATATGTGGAATGTTTCCCGTGCTATAAGCATGGCGCAAGATGTTATCTACATCCATGACTGGTGGTTGAGCCCCGAGTTGTATATGCGACGACCGGCGTGCATTAGCCAGAAGTGGCGTCTGGATCGGTTACTTCAGAGGAAAGCCAGAGAAGGCGTCAAGGTATTTATCATTATTTACAGAAACGTGGAGCAAGCTATACCTATAGACTCGGAGTACACAAAATTCTCGCTCCTTAACCTCCACGATAATATCCTAGTTCTGAGGTCGCCGAATCAGCTGAAAAAGAACCAATTCTTTTACGCCCACCACGAGAAGGTTTGCATCGTGGATCACGATGTAGCCTTCCTTGGAGGAATCGATCTTTGTTTCGGCCGCTGGGATAATCCGCAGCACCCAATTGCAGATGATCGGCCAACCGGCATGGAGCCAGACGGTGACAGCCCTCGAGACGCAGACAATTGTCAGCTTTTCCCCGGCAAGGATTATTCGAATCCCCGCGTCTTAGACTTCTTCAAACTCAACGAGCCTTATGAAGAAATGTACGATAGGAGCAAGGTACCAAGGATGCCTTGGCACGATATTGCGATGCAAGTTGTTGGCCAGCCGGCGCGTGATCTTACCCGCCATTTTGTACAACGATGGAACTACCTACGGCGTGAACGCAAACCTACTCGGCCTACCCCTTTCTTACTTCCTCCCCCCGATGCTAACCCGGTAGACCTCGAGGCTCTTGGCCTGTCTGGAACGTGCGAAGTCCAGATCCTGCGCTCGGCAGGCGATTGGTCTCTAGGCTATCCGAAAGACATAAGAGAGCACAGTATCCAGTCAGCATATGTAAAAATCATTGAAGAATCTGAGCACTTCGTCTATATGGAAAACCAATTTTTCATTACTAGTACCGAGACTATGAATACTAGGGTGGTCAACCGTATCGGGGATGCCCTAGTCGAGCGCATCATTAGAGCCCACGAGAAAGGCGAGGAATGGCGTTGCTGCATCTTAATTCCCCTCGTGCCTGGTTTCCAGAACACGGTAGATCAAGCTGAGGGCAGCAGCGTCCGTTTGATCATGCAATTCCAATACCGAAGCATATGTCGAGGCCCAAATTCAATTTTTGGACGGTTACAGGCCGTTGGTATAGAACCAGAAGATTATATCTCGTTCTTTAGTTTGAGGCAATGGGGTCGGATCGGTGCTCATGATCAGATCGTGACCGAGCAGCTCTATATTCACGCCAAGACCATCATCGTGGATGACCGTGTTGCATTGATCGGGTCAGCAAATATCAACGAACGTTCAATGCTAGGCAACCGAGACTCTGAAGTTGCTGCTATTGTTCGAGATACAGATATGATGTGGTCGACAATGGCGGGGGAGAGTTACCAGGTTGGTCGATTCGCACACACTCTTCGCATGCGTCTAATGAGAGAGCATCTTGGACTGGACGTAGATGAGATAACAGAAGAAGAGAGGCAAGCAGAGCTCAGTGCCGAAGCCCGCTTCGAAGCTGAGATGAACCAATTGTATGGAGATGACGATGAAAATCCAGTTGCAGGAAGTTCAGAACCCGCGGGGCCAAGCAAGTACCATCGTGGACAAAGCTTCAACCATGACGTTGCCGTAGAAGAAGGTCCTGGCTCCGCGTCTGCCTCTTCGTCTGCCTCGTCTACCTCGTCTAGTTCAAGAAGCAACTCTCCAGAACGTGATCCACGAGTACACGGAAATGATAGGCATAACAAGGACGTCGAGGGTTATGGGCCGGATAACTGGAAGGCGGCGCAAGCTAAAGGAATTGATCGTGGAAGTGATTCAGTTGTTATGGACGGGCATGAGGTCCTCCTTCATAGAAAAGGTCACTCCAAGGGTCATAAGGCAGACGCTAAGACTAGTGAGCTGCATCCGGAGACGTCTTCTCAGGGTTCATCACAGCGTAACCTTGGCAAGGGGAATGATGAATTGCCACCGATCCAGTCAGACCCATCGGCGAGGTCTCAATTACCGCATCCTGTACAGCTTCCAGCATTACCAGTCTTGGATGATACCGATATAGGCGGTCCACCGATGAGATTGGACGATTCGGGAAGGCCTACAAATGAGCCCCTGAACCCTCTAGTTGCGGATATCGTACAAGCTCGGATTGACAAAGACTGCATGCGTGATCCTGTTACCTCTGCTTTCTGGGATGATATCTGGATGAGAGTTGCCTCGAATAATACGAAATTGTATCGACGGGTTTTCCGATGTATGCCTGATAGTGATGTAACCACGTGGAAGGAATATAACGAGTTTGAAGATTATGCGCGCCGATTTAAGGAGAGCATGGTAGGACCAAGGAATGATGAGTCTGAGGCAAGCCAGATGAGCCACATTGGTGGAGCAGCACCAGGTATCGCGGCACCAGCCGCCGCACAGGGAGCTCCTGATATTTCCGAGAAGCTCTATAATCAACACCCCGAGAGCAATCCCAAAGTTGTAGTTTCTAATGGAAATACGACTGTTTTGAACGAAAAGGCCCCGATTTCCGACGGCAACAATTCTCCTGAAAAGGAGGGGCCTGATATTGGCTTGGACCCAGAGAGGGTTCGTACTAAGAATTCTCTCGACGCACCTTCGTTAGTACAGCCCGCCGGAGATACCCCATTCCCGGCGTATGAGGGCCAGGTCGATTCCACATACCTGGAGCCCCAGGGTGAGAAGCGGGATCGGCGGGCTACGTTTTCATCGGCCGAGAAATCCGCGCCGGAATCTAGCAGCACCGCTAACCCTCACAACCATAATTCGGTGAGGCGCCGCCGACGAGCCACTACTAAGGGTAGCCGACGCGGGCCGTCCTTCCCGTATGAGCTCCTCAGCCGTGATGAAGCGGAGGAGCTGTGTGGGTTAGTTCAAGGGACGCTGGTTCAGTTTCCCTACGACTGGCTCGAAGTCGAGGAGAAGGACAACCACTGGCTGTACCAGGCTGACCTGTTGGCCCCTAAGGAAATATAGTACGTATTGCCCATCAATATTGCGCATCGCTCGAGAATAAGAGGCATCAAAATGGCTAACGAATTAACAGTGACTAAACGACACCCGTTCCATTCTAGGCCTACAAGGGCTATTTATCTACTATAAGCTCCCCGGGCATACCGAGTGCGGAATAAGCATAGCGAAGGGCGGATAGAGGAGTTATCGTCTTTTATTTGCCTATCCTATCCTATAGCTTGTAATCTGGTTGTTTCTGTGTATTAAACTAAACGGAAGGAATTTGCCCTACCTTTACACTATTGTCTTTATTAGGGTGGTTTACATACATTAGGTACCTACCTACCTACCTACCTACCTACCTACCTACAGGTAGGTATATATATATGCTCGTAATATTGTAGTTGGCACGTATGGGGAGACTGCTAGTATTTTGGCTTGGGATCGAGATGCATACCTACCTCATATATATACAGCTGTATTTGTACGTTGCGTCTTGTCATGGTTTTACTCGGTCTTGAGGAATATAAAAAAGAGAATTTTGATAGTTGAATATTGCGGCAGTGCGTGGTGTTTATGTAAAAGGGGGAGGGGCGTGAATACACGAGTTCGACATATCTTATACGAGTTAATGGATATTATACTTCATCTAAGCCGTGATTCGTATGCAGAATTAAAGTTAAAAACAATCTAACGTAACTACCTGATAGATGAAGTGATAGCGCGGCTTTCACATCCTGAATTGTTGTAATATTAACTCAGCGTACCTGTAATGACATTCTCTTGAGGATCATACCACCCATCTATCTTCCTACCTGCGAGGCAGGCAACCTTACATTCTAGGAATTTCAAAAAGCCGCATATTTAGTTATACAGGTCGGCGGACGCAAAACAAGTATACACTACTGCTATTTCTTGCTATTTCTCCCCATCTCCCTCACTCTCCGCGCGACAGACATCCGTCCTACTTTAGGTACCTAATCTAACTAGTTGTAGTACATCCCTCCCAGCAGATCCCGTACCTAGACGCATAATATACAATACAGTACAAGACAAGCAAATGTATTTGCGGCAAGAAAGAGACATTACATTACCTAATGGTATGGGCAGACAAAAGAAAGTGCGACGAGAGCTGGCGAGTGAGCTGACTGGCTGTTCTCAGGGGTATCATATGTCCATGTTATACCGTCCCATCCTATATGCTTTTTGGTTTTGCGGTTTTCTCCCGCCTGAATATGTCCAACGACCAACTCCCCCGCGATGCTGAGTGTGCAAAAAGAGAAATATTAAAAGAGAAGAAAAAAAGGTAGCTTGCTAGTGCATCCCATCCAATAACTAAACACCGGGTATGCGCATACATTAGGTATGCAGTTCAGGATACAGTAACCAAACAGCGTGTTCGGAGCCGAGGTTTGCAGGGTCTGATGCATAGTACAGGTGAAAACACGGGACACTGCATCCCGATAATCGAGTTCCAAGCTGGACAGATCGACCAAGAAAGCAGACGCCAATGTCGTTATTCTCCGAGTCCTTCCCTTAACGCATCGCGATCCACATCGTCAGGTCGGATCTTGGGAGGCGGCACTCTTCGTTGAGCCGCAGCCAAGTATTCCGAAAATCCAGGTATCGCGCCCTGCTGATTGATACCAGGGGGACGACCAGGAGGACGATCACTCGATTTTTGACTATTGTCTTTGGCCGTCTTTGCGGATGTACTACTCGCGGTGGAACTACTATCTCCACCTGCGCCGCCGCCGCCACCCCATGGCCGCCAGCCAACCCATTTACTAAGTTTTGACGACCCGAAACCTGACATGGATGAGTCTGAGACGGACTGCAAACTTCCTACTGGCGATAAGGCATATCTTTCACGGAGTAGCGTGCTACTTCGCTTTGCGCTATCGTGTAACAACATAGGCCGCGCTGTAATATCACTGCTCCCCGTCACAGAAGAGGCCGAACCTATGTGGCGGATTCTCAGCTGACTCGGTCGAGACTTTAATGTGTGGATATCAAGGCCGCCGGAGAGCGATATGATGGATTCATGCGATAGAGATCTACGTAGCCTGACTATTGGTATTGGATTATCGCCTGGCTCATCTACGGCAGAAATATCATCCATCATAGCGTCTTGGTCCCTGGAAGAAGCTGCATCTTCTGCGGTAGACTCGTCGGTGGCTGAGGTTAGATCTGGAGGATTGTCCCCATCATCAGATTCTTCGATAATTGGATGGGTGTCAGTAACGAATGGTTGTGCCAAGGCTGACGTTGTTGAGAATCGAAAACCCCGTGAAGATACGTTCGATAGCTGCTTCTGGTGAGTAGCATGCCACGTAGGAGATACCGGGTCGATACTAGTCGTAGGTGAAGTGGGAAAAGAGTCTATTGCAGAGTGGTCGAAAAGTGAATTTCGGCGGTTTGATAGAGGCGAGCTCGGAACCGACGAGAATGCAAAATCGGACCGTTGGTCTGAATATGTTGACCAACAATTGGAGAGGAGCGAATCTCTATGCATATGAGAACCAAACTGTGATCGCGTGGGGCCACTTGGAGGCGTGCTTGGTACTGTACTTCCAGGTGGCGTAAATACACCGGGTGCAATTCCTTGTCGTTTCTTCCGCGGCTTTTTCACTTCTTGTTTCGATTTCGGTAAATGGAAATGGTGGTGAATATGAAGCTCATGCGGAGTCTTGGGAGGTATCCTTTCAGGCGAATCCTTTTCAGACTCGAGCTCCGCGCTAAGCGTGGAGGCAGCATTGGCAAGTTCGTCTCCCAATGGTTGGTGATACATGAGCTGGTCGCGCAAAGCTTGGATCTCGTCGTTGGAGTTTATAAGCATCTCCCGCAACTCGGCGATACCATATTGCAGGTTGGCGTTGTCTTGGAGCAGGTCACGGACAAAGTGTGATACGGCATTGCTCCCTCCTCCGCCGACGCGATCAAGCGATTTAGCTGCTGCTGCTCCCTTTAGTCGGCCAGCGGCGGTATTCAACTCCTTTTCCATCTCACGCTGTCTTTCTACTCGGCCTATCATTTCAACGTGGTATTCTCTCTCTTCTTGCGTTTCTCTTTCCATTCGCTCAAGTTGTTCTTGTAAGTCACTGATGCCCCTTTCGGCTCGCTTCCATCTCGACACGGCAGACTTAGCCTCTTCACGAGAGGAACTCAGGTGGCTCTGTAGCTCAGCCTGTTCTTGCTCTAAAGCTAGAAGTTGGCGCTCTAATGCCGCAGCACGCGCCGTTTCGCCCTCGAGCCTACGAACTGACTGTTGCGAAGAAAGGACGGAGGCCTCAAGGGATCTAATGTGACTTTCAGAATCGATGACCGTGTTGTTGAGCGCCTCGAGCTGGTCGAGTAAGTTTCTGTTATCCTCAATCGTCTTCGCATTCTTAGCCTCCAACTCCCTATTATTAACTTCTAACTGCTCGATCCGAGCAGCGAGCTCAGTGCGATCTCGTTCCGCATTCGCCATGTAAGCTTCGTGACGCGCGAGCAAGGCCTGCAACGCAAATGTTAGAGACTGGTAGACCGTCATCGCCGACTGCTTGCGCGGGGAGTTGTTACGACGCGGGTGTTCTGGAACGCGGATTGCAAATACAAGAGTAAAACGACACAGTAATGCCAAGACGCATTCCTAATGTGGTACTTCGTAGCACTTCTCCTATTATCTGTAGTAGGGGATAAACAAACTATAGAATGTGATGTGATATGGTATAAGAGAGCTGCAGGCGAAGCCGACTAGACTACTACTACTACAGGAGCTCTTGTGGCTTGGATCTCGACACACCTGACATACAGGTGATGACCACGTAACAGAAGACGTACCTGGCCCATCCGGGCAGCGTTGTGGACATCCTTCTCGACACTAGCGAGAACAGAGTAATTATGTCTTAGAAAGATGCACTCTACAGAACCACAGCAGCACTTCAGAGGTCCTGGTTCTTGGGGTTCGGCAGACAGGTCGGCGTCTTCGCGGTCGACGGCAGCAGCAGCCACGGCGGGATGACAGAATTCAGCCATGACGATGGCTAATAATCGCTTCGTTGCGCGTGTTCAGCTGAGAGATCAGCATGCTGGATTAAGGGGTCGCCAAGGGAAGGGCCAGCAAAGACGTCTCCTTTGGTTGTCTGGCGCACAGTGGACGAGACGGGAGGTGGAGCGAGACACGCTCACCCAGCTCGCCCGTCCGGGAAAGATGCGAAAGGGCTGAGACTATTCGACGCGAATCTCTTCGAGTCCAGCCAGCCACGAGAAGGACAGGAGGGAGGAGAGGGAAGCCGAAAGAGAAGATGCAAGAAAAGAAAAAAGTAAAGAAACAAGGTATAAAGAAAAAGAATTGACAAAAAGAAGCCAAAATTGAAGCTAGGTTAGTTAGGTGTATAGGTGAAGATGGCTTCTCGCGTTGCTTGGTGTAAGTGGTCGTGAGTGGTCGTGAGTGGTGGAGTGAGGGATGATTAGATCAAGTGTGGGGTCCGTAATTAATACCTACATACACTATTAAAGTTAGCTATTTTAACTTCAATATGTAGGTAAGATTACCTAAGGTTGCCTAGGTATGTAGTACTTTGCGTCAGATGCATGTAGTTAGTAGATATTTGGGTTCTTGAAAGTAGTACGTTAAGTCAATGTCTATCTTAGACATCTCACAATAAAGGGCGCAAAATCAGGACGCAAATGAGATATTAGGTAACTGCTCGTAAAAGGAAAGCAAGTCTATTTCATATACTATTAAATGCCCCGTTTGGATGAAGTGGTTGGTAAAGACCTGTCACATGGACAAATCACTATGTTACCGTATTTTTGGCTGTACCTAATCCTGTGATACGTCGCGCCGAGGGGTGCGCGATGACGCACTTTAGCGCAATTAATAGGTAGGTATATACCGCGTACCTTGCATCTTACATTGGGCAGTACATAGGTACCTGGGTATGTACACAGGTAGTGAGGTATATTAAAATTTACATTTACATTTACATCTACAAACATGCACATATAAGGGTAGGCAAATACATGTACCTAAGATCGATATATATCCGTACTTGATAAGAACAAATAATTGTTATTTATAACTTCAAATTCATTTCACGCTTGCTGTTCGCCTCGCCTCATTTATGCAGTACATAGGTACCTAGCTATAAGTATGTAGGTACCTAGGTACCTATACTAGCTCCCCAGTGCCTACCTATACCGGCTAGCTCCCTAAGCCGGTAGCGCAACAGTCAAAATGTCTAGCCCTCCCTTAAGCTCCGTCTTCGATGGCATAGCGCCCATCTTCATAAGCTCCGCCGACTTGGCCATAGCTGGATCCACTCCCATACTGGCCATGGCTACCACAGTCTCGCCTTTGCAATAATATCCCACAAATTTGCCTTCTCCCGGATTCCCCTGCAAGACAAGCTCGTCCCACCCGTGCATCGAATTACCGCAATATCGCAATTGTCCCGTCAGAGCCGACCAGAAAATCGGTGTGAAGAAGTCTGACTTCAACGACGGGTTGACGATGTGATGTGCTACGACTCGTCCCTGATTCTGCGCCACGTTCCAATGTTCGATTCGTGTGTAGTTGCCCTGACCTCCGGGACCGTGATAAGGGTACGAGGCAATGTCTCCGATCGCATAGACATCCTTCAGTCCTACCACGAGGAAGTTCTCGTCTGTCTTTAACGATCCATCTTCTTCTAATCGGATCACCTTGTTCTCCCTAAGATATCCCGTTGACGGTGCGACACCAACACCTAACACGACCAGATCGGCTTCGAGTGTTGTGCCATCCTTCAGATGCACCGAGCCCACTTTGGATGGACTCGAGCCAGACGGTTCAGCTTTGTCCACTCCTGCTGACATGTGGAATTTGACCCCTTTCTCTTCCAATAATTTCTGTAATCCGGCACCAACTTCCTGGCCCAGTACTCTCTCCAGTGGAACGCTTTCTTGACCAACTACCGTCACTTCATTTTCTGCAGCTGTCGCATTTGCCACTTCCATGCCAATGAAGCTACTACCAATGACGACAATCTTTTTACCTTTATCACCGATGGCGTCCACAATCTTCTTTGCATCATGAACCGTCCTAAGCAGGAAGATGTTCTCAAGCACTTTGAATCCCTGCATAGGTAGATTCCGCGGTGAACCTCCAGTAGCCAAAATCAGCTTGGAGTATACAAATCTCTCCTTATTCTTGGTGGTAACAGCTTTGCTGACAAGATCGACGTCGACAACTTCGTCATACACTACTTCGACCGAGCCCGACTTGAACCACTCCTCGTCCCTCCATTGGATCTTGGTGTGATCTGTAATTAAGGCTTTAGATAGCTTAGTTCGATCGATGGGTAGATAGCCTTCGTTAGATATCATAGTAATAGGGCCAGAGAACCCCTTTTCCCTTAGACCTTCGATGGCACCGATTGCCCCGCTACCGCCGCCAACTACGACAACTCTATCAGCCTGTGTCCCGCCGCTGGTACTGCACTTGAAGTTAGGTTTCCGTCTCGCGGCTTTGATCGTCGCCTCCTCGCCTTCGATATACACGGCACCATCCTTCTCGACTACCTTGAAGACGGGGAGGGCGTCTAAGGCAGGGGCGTTCTCGATATCACCAGTCTGGCCGTTAAAGCAAGCTATATAGATGAGAGAAAAGTAAAGGTTAGTTATACTGGATCACTGCCTACGAGAAAAAGGTCGAGGGAGAAAAACCAACCTCCGTGCCACGGGCAAGTCAATCGACCGCTCTTAGTTAAAACGCCCTTTACCAGGGGGGCACCGTAATGTGTGCACTTTGGTCCCGTAGCTTGGATCTTGCCACCGGCATTGAGGAGAAGAACTTTGCCGCCCTCGACACCCTCGACTTCGACCTCTTGCTTGTCACCAGGCTGCAGTGACAAGGAGGATACACCTTTCAGCTTGAATTGAGGCATAGCTCTGGTTGCAGATACCGATATGAGTCTAGTATAATTATTGGGTTGTAATTTATAATTGGGATTGAGCCTAGGCCTAAGGAAGATACGAGCTACAGAAGATCGCAAGAGGGATCTGGCGGAATTCATGAAACAAGACGAACCGGCAGAAGAGGAGGGAATGAAGGATATCTTATTATGAATAATCTATTAACTGGACTGAAATCATATGTTAAGAAGACGACACATGCAGGTGTGTAGCCAACCAAGTGCAATGTAGAAGAAACAAGGAGGTATCGTAACTGAGGGGTCGGGAATCAAATGGTTCGAGGTCAAATCAACGGCTTAAAACCTTCATCGTTTTCTATAATTTCTTCTCATCACCGATCAAGTACTCTACCACTGCCCTACGCCTCTATGGGTACCTCCTAGCTCCCATGTCGTAATGCATCCTTACATGCATCATTAGCACACTTCCATTATTGATCGGGAGTTGTAATCCCAACCCTCTCAATGGCCAGAGTTGTGTTTGTTCACCAACTCATGACATCATAAATCAACTTGGCTTTCCCGTGTTCCATAATTCCCAGCATAGCTCAAACCAATCATCTATTACAGATATGTTATCATCCAACGCCTATTGTTAAATACCCAATTACATGAGCTCTATGCTGCATGAGCACATATTAATAATATTCCCCCTTCTTAGAATTATTAGCTTCCTATCGTCATCACCGTTTAGGTCCGTTTCTAGTGCAGGTAAACGTCAAATTGGCAGATTACATCAGGGAGCTTTTCTCACCTAGGTATATTTATTATGTATTTCAACCGAAACAATACGCCTCCTTTTAATATCCATCTCATTACGTATATCTTATACGTCCCTTTTCTCAGAAGAGCTCTCGCATAAAATCCGGCACTGATAGCTCATCGCTGAAATCAAATCCAGCAGACGTGCAGCCGGGAATCCCGAAATTCGAATCTTGGGGCCACGCGGCCCCCTGAGCTGGTACCTCGGGATGGCCAATCTAGATAACATTTGTATATGTTTAGTTATAATTCCCCGCGCCTGGCACACACTGTATCGGGGGCTCACTAACCAAGTTCTGGCTTACGCCGCTGGAAGGGGTGCCAAACTGCAACGGAGCATATGTGCAATAGGAATTTGTGGTAGACGGTACAGGATCAAAAGCCCGGTCGAGGCTCTTCGCCTGCTCGACCGCGTAATTCGCGGCCTGCTCTAAGCTTGTAAGAACAACCTGGAGAGTCTTGAAAGACTCCAACCCGGTGTAGTCCAGCAGCCTCCCAATACGCTCTTTTGTCAACTTGGTAAGTTCTCGGTCATGATCTACTAGCTCGTGCGAAGGATAGTATACTATATTAGCTAGCAAGACAATGAATGCAGAAAAGTAGGCACAGCCACCGAGCCTGCAAGGACTTTTCATTAGCAACGACGGTTTCGCAAGGCGCTGTTTGGTAGTCTACTCACCATAGGTTACATCCGCTATAGCATTTATTGTGTAATATATTCAAACACCCGCGACTAGTTCTCACGCATGTATCCCAAAAACGAGGCAATAATGGTTGATAATGCTGCATATAACCTCTTGCTTGGTTATTGAAACTTCGAAGAACGGAATTGCTAGCATCATTGACTGCTTTTAACCAAGGCGAGTCAAGAGAGTAAAGGCCGTTAAGTACCGTATAACACATTAAGTAAGTGTGATATAGAAGGATCATATGAGAAAGCGGTGCCTTTGCCACAGTCTCTGTTATCTTTTCGAGCTGCATTGATTCCGGTATTGTTAGTACCCATTGATTTAGGAGTCTGGCAAGATGAGAAACCCTCTCCTGGCGAGCCTCATGTGATAATCTGAACGATCGATTGCTGAGCAGGTAGTCATAAACCTTCCCCTGTAGATAAGCAAGTTGGACCCTAGCACGGAGATAGTTAAGTTGTGAATTCCCATCAATACTTTGAAGATAGTTGTCATTGTCTTCGGGCAGGTCCAGGTCCAAGTCATAATCGCATTGCATAGAGGGGATCCTCGAGCGGAAACAGACGTCCTAAACCATATCAGCCATAGAAGGTGCCAAGATAGATGTGTTAGGCTTACTTTGTCTAAGTAGTAACAGAGCCAGAATATATTGCTTCTATGACGTGCAACCTCTGGTGAATACTGGGATAATGTTGATTTCACGTGAAGCCCGAGCCTATGGGCCAGTCGAACAGCGGTGCTAATCAGAACTGACGCTGGTTTCTGATCAGTATTTGTCTGGAAGAGCACTAAAGCACATTTGGTCAGCGATCTTGTCTATGCACGATGTTTAGAATTCGGGTTGAGACTTACAAACTAGACCCAAGAGAACTTCTATCCCAAGTGTGTCTTCTTCTCGTGTCACAAGCTCGTCCAGTTCTTTCTGGGCATTGTCGATGCAATTTTTAATTTTAATATCATCGAATCTAACTATGATTTCGTCTGTATCAACAGTGCGGACGCGTAAACCAAGGGCAAGGACTACGTTTATCGCGGCCCAGACAGCCCTGGACTTCTTAGTAGGCTCCTGTTCGGAATAGAAGTCCAAAAGCATTTGCATGAAATGCTGTTGGTGAAACAGCGGCAAGGCAGTATTGAAATCACGGAAGTAGTCCTCAATAATCGGTAATATCTCAGTGAGAGGGGGTAGGCAGCGTTCCCCGTGGCGCTCCAAAAGACATGAACTAGATGTTCCTGAGGAGAGATCAATTGACGAAATAATCGACGAAATGGCAGGTCCCACAGCTTGACTTGATGTGTTACTAGACCCTCGATCTACTATGGTGGCAGCGTCACGGTCGCCAATCCTGTCTAGCTTTGCCTCAATTCGCGCAAGACGAGTCTCAAGGCTATCGTCATCTACTGTGGTGCTTGCTGCCCGTGATTCCCTCTGAACAACCGGGGCTACTCTTCTTCGAACTGCAGTTGTGCCACATGGCACTTTATATAGTAAACAGTTGGAGCATGCTGGTTTCAGCATATCACACTTGATTTTCTTCTTGAAACAAGTATCGCCTGTTATATGTGTGATCATTAGCGAGGTTCTAATATAGTAGATGTATAGCGGCCTACATGCTTTACGACGAGAACTGGTCTCCATTTTTATTGATGGACTTATAAGCGACTTTGAAGAGTAGATCCTTTCTGGGAATTGGTTTCAGGGGGGGAAAGATAATATAGAAAGCATTTACTCGGCCGAGGGAAGAAATGTAATGAAGAACTACAGGTGAATTGGTCAGCGCTCATGAGAATTAGGTACTCATGAGAATAAGGGGCGCAGAGCTACACGAACTGCTGACAAATGGGCCCATCTGGTTTTATGGTCATGGACGAGGAAGTCTTGGCATTATATATTGCATATATCTATTAGGTATATATATATATCTAGAATGCAATATTCATATATGCGTTGTGATATTCACGGAGTTGTCGTGGTTGGCATCATGTCTTTAGTCTCATCTTAAGACTTATATGTAATATTCAATGTAACAAAGGGTCAAAAAGTATCGATAATATATGCATTCTCTATCGTATATATATTGACATATATTAACATATATTAACACATGGTATTCTCTATGTGGAGCTGCTAACCAAGATACACCAAGCAGCCAGTAAATAGCACTTAAGCGCAGAAACCCAACAACCATCCATCCTAGTCTAAAGCATCTAATCTACCTAATCTAATCTAGTAAGGAACGCCATACGGATGCGAAGTAATATTAGGACTGCTTAGCTCCGGGAAGCCGTGAAATTCCAGGCTTCCGTTGGCCGCCGCGAACTTCTGGAAATGCGTCCCCAGGTCCGCCTTGTAGCTCTCAACCGCCTTCTCGTCGCTGAGGTCGAACGGCTCCTGGCCCCTGACTATCTGCGCCATCTGCGAGCCCGCGGTGTTCGCGGAGAGCATGACATCGTTCACGATGCCGTCGACCGGCCGGATGGCGCTCGTGACCTTCCCGGATAGGATATCACGCGCGAGGCGAGGCTCCTGCGCAGCGGGGCGGGCGATCCCGATGCCGTCGAGGATAGCGAGGGCGTCTACCATGGCGGCTGTCGTGCGGAACCCGCCGGTGAGGAACTTTTTGGTCCTGGAGAGGTGCGGGACGATATCGCGGACGAACTCGAGGAAGTACGCCTCGCGCTTCAGCGTGGTCTCCTTCTTCGAGCCATACCCGATCTCCTCGTGGTTGCCGCCCGAGAGCTCGACGTAGTCGAATTCCAGCTCCTGGAAGGTTTCGCACATAATTCGGGCTTCTGCCGGCTTGATGCCCTTCTCCTGGAACTCGACTGAGTTCACCTTGATACCGACGATGAAGTCTGGGCGCACACGTCTCTTGACCTCCCTAGCGATCTCGGACACGAGACGTAGGCGGCTCGAGATGCTACCGCCGTACTCATCAGTACGCTGGTTTGAAAGCTCAGATAGGAACTGTGCGATTAGGTATCCGTGTGCTCCGTGAAGTTGAATGCCGTCGAAGCCTGCTTTATCTAGGTACTCGGCGGCATGTGCAAACCCGTCGATGACACGTGCGATATCTTCCTTCGTGGCCTCCCGGGGCCTGGCATACTCCGCACCATTCTTCGGGGCTATCGTGAGGTATGTTTGTTAGCGCCTTGTCGTTAGGATACGTGGTAAAGGGGATATCTACGTACGGTGCTGGATTGCCGATGCTGAAATCGTGTCCTTTCTAATCCTGGCGGCCAGCTGGCGTCCAGGGTGTGTGACCTGAGCCACGATCAAGCTACCATTCGCCTTGGATACCTTGGCCATCTCTTGAAACGCTTCAAAGCGTGGGCCTGAAAATGGACATTCTGGAGTAATAATGCCATCGCCGACAAGATCTAGCATATCAAACTCGATATCAATGTTTCCGGTAGCAATAATTCCCCACTCATTCTCTCCCCATCTCAGCTCTCATGTTAGTCTCTATGAGAATATATGTATTTGGCCTTTGTCATCCTTACATTCGATATAGTTCAATAAGCTCCTTGGTCGGGATACCACGCTCTTCGAAATTCTCGACACTCCAGGATGCTAGATCTTCAGCCATCGAGGCTTTGTAAAAGCGATTCTTTGCGACTTTCCCGGAGAACTCGAACTTTAGAGGCTGGCCCAGAGGCGCAACATCGACGACGGCTGAGTCGTAGCGTCTAACAGGCATTTTGATTTAGAGCAAAAGATGGCAACTTAAGGTGTTTTATATTCGGGTCCTTTTAGTAGGTTAAGGTAGTCTTGAGAAGGCAGCTTTGCTTCTGATGATGATTTCTTCTCCCATTAGAAAATATTTGCGAGCCCTAGCTACATTAAATACTAAATTCATCTTCGTCCATGTCCTTAGTACCTAGCATCATGTATTGCTATCCTGACAAATAGCGGTATAGAACTTCAACCGCCGCCGCCCGGTCTCGGGCAGTGTTGAGAAGTGGCCGTCGTGAATTGTCGTAGACTAAGAATTTGTCCACGGACCGAGTCTAGAATTGCTGACTTATACTAACCCATAAATAAGTCACCGCCGGGATGCCGCTCAGTTGCGGCTCCGGTTCTTGATTACAAATGTTACCAATAAGATCATGGCAAACCATCAAACTCCGTGGAATCCCACGGCATTCTACGCTATGTAGCAACGGTCATCGCAGCGCCGCGGAGTTTGACGACCATCAAACATGGTTGGTACCTTGGGTACCTAGGAACGCCATATAGTTATTGATGTAGATAATCTTGTTCCATTTTTTTATTAAAAATAGCCACCTATATGTATTAATTATCATGCACTGGTTGAAAGAGGTAGCAAGGGTTATATGTAGCTGTGCCTAATATTGATGCTATGCTCCTATCTTCCGCTGCCGTCCAATTGAACCTGTCCTCAACGCCATCTACACAATCTCCTAACCTAGACCTATGTCTCAGGTAGAGCTGCCCTTAGTTAAATAATAACCTAACTTTGTGATTCGTTTTCCGAGAGCATATGGACGGAAAACTTCGTCCTTTAACGTACACCTCAAAAAGAAAACATTGCCTAAGAAATCAGAATCTAGTCTAATTATGCAGAAAGTTGCTCGCCTCGTCTAATCAATGTCAACCTCGATGTCAAGATCCAAAGCCGCGATGATATCATCATCCACGATTGGTTTATGAATCTGAGGGATACCCTTCTTATCTTTCCCTGTCTGATGGTTTTGTAGCTGCAGCTTCTGCAGATGGGGTAGAAGTGGTGCTTTCGTAGTAGCACTCTGCTTTGGTGTGCCGTTTGCAGGCGTCGATGCACCACTACCATTGGCTGGCGTCGACTTCGGGTCGGTGGACTCGTTGATGTCCTGCCTAAATTTAGGCTTGGTTCTGAGACGTCGTGAAGTGTCTTCGTTGACATCTTCTCCACGTGCAACGCGTGCTTCAATTTGGCGCGCCTTCGCTTTCTCCATTAACTGTGCCTTACGGACAGCCTCCACGTTACGTCGACGGTTTTCAGCATTCAAAGCTGCTAATCGCTCCTGTTGTGTTGGCGTTGAACTGGTCGACTTATTCGATGGCGCAAGGCTGGTCTTGAAAGCTAGACGTGGTGTTTCCAGGGAGTCCAGCTTATCTTGGAGTTCCGAAACTCGTGCGTCATCTCCGCGTCGTCTGGCTTCCTCAATCAAGTCAACTAATCGGTTTCGCTCAGTAGGCGTGAATTTACCGAGTAGACTTCGCTCTCGCTCGATCTTGGCGTTCACCTCTGCATCAGTCCAGGAGCGATTCACTAGAGCGTTGATATCGTCAATTTTAGCGTCTAGTGTCGGTCTCTTGGGAAAGATAACGCCCTCGTCTTGGCAAACCTTCTTATAACGGTTGAATTCAGCCTATTAATAAATTAGACATGCAAACATATAATAGAGCAGTGGGATTGTTACAAACCTCTGTAAAAGGCGAGTCTGAACAACTGATGAAAGGCCATTCCCTTTCAGATTTGCCGTGTGCGGCTCTGATGTACTGATCAGTGACGAAGTTCTGACCGTTTGACTTCTCCATGGCATATGGTTTCCCCTGTGTGAACCCTAGGATAGCACGGTTAATAATGAGTAAGCTAGAGGTGTATGGCTAGACTATACCTTTAATAAGAGCCATTCGGTAGACACTAGAACCATCAGAACCTGGACCGAGAGCGATACGGACGTAGCATCCGGTAATGGCTTCGTTAAAACCAGGATAGAAACAAACTCGAGCGAATCGGCTGCGGCCAAGTCGTACGCGCTCGAAATCACGGATATCGGCGAGGGGGGTCTCTTTCACTTCGGGAGTTCGTGACTTGGAAAACTTGTCCCTTGATCTACCAGCCCACTCGACATCGCTATCATCATCACCATCGCGACCAGGACTGTCCCGCGAACCTGAGTATGACTTCTTGTTGCGCTCTCGATCTTCTTCTCTACGGCGCTGCCGATCGTTCTTCTCGGCTCGAGCGCGGCGGAGCGACTCGATGCCGGAGCTCGGCTCGCCCACTCTTGAACCACCAACTCTTGTTCGCTGTCGTGAGGGCTTGCGCTGGGATTCATCTAGTTCAGCAGCACTAGCTTTGCGCTTCTTAGCCGACTGACTATCGTCCTCTCTCGTTTTCAGTAGTCGACGAAGTAAGGTGTTTTGTCGCTGGCGATCAACTTCCTCCTGGCGTCTAGCAAGCAACTGCTCTCGCTCAAGTTCGGGCATAGCTAAGATATCCTCCTTCTCTGCCTCGTTTGCATAAATTCCATCGATGGGGTACTTGTTATCATCGTCGTCGTCCATCTTGCCGTTGGTGTTAGTAGCCTGCAAGGTATCAGACTCAGAATCAGATTCGTCCATGGGTGCAGAATTCTGCGAGGCGGGAGAGGCAATAGAAGAACTGTTGTGAGGCATGGCGCGTGAGTTAGCTCAGTTCGTTTATTGAATGTTAAGAAATGAATCACACTGCAATTCGCTCGTTGAGTTTAGGTAGGTGTTGCGAGGCATCGAGTGGGGTTGATATGAAGGTTGGCTGACTTGGACGAAGCGAAAGAAGGCTGTCCTTATCTTATGCTTGTTGCATAGCAACAACGATTGAGAAGAGAGCGCGTGTTGAATAATAGGATAAATAATAGGATGCGTGGGGTTAATTAAAGTAGTAAGATAACTAGGGAACTTACGCCTCGCCTTCCTCCTCATCCGACTCGTCATGTTTTTTCTTGCTAGGTTTGTGCTTTGTCTTGCTTGACGTTTGATCCTTGGCTTCGGGGTCGGGCGAACCAGATACAGAGCGACTAGGACTCGCAGGCTGCTCCTGCTCCTCATCAGACGACTCGTCGCCTCCGACGAGGGCTAGAAGTTCATCATCTACATCGGCCATGATGATAGGATGTTTAGTTCGCGAAGGCGACTCGGACTGGATGCTACCTAGCTAGCGTTTGGAAAATGCGACGCGCGACGGCGAGTACTCGTGGAAGTGGTAGGATCGACGGTTTCTTGATTGCAAAGAGGAAATAGTTTTCGTGAGAGAAAGACTGCCAGATCAAATGAAAATACTTATAACATGGTGAGAAAAGAAGATGTGGTTGAGAGAGTTGGGTGCTAGTTCCCCTATTTGAGGAAGGCGTCAGAAAATAAGGTAAAAGATTTGAGTTGTTGAATTTACAGCCTCATTGAGCTTGCATTTGGAGGACCACGTCTGCTGTTGTATTTGCTCTTCCCATTGTTTGCTCCCATTGGGTGGGTTTTATCTCCTTACCTAATCAATTTCCCGAGCTGAATCATAGGTAAGTACCTACCTAGGTAAGGTTAGGTACCTACGTCTATGGCCCGTGCATACCTAGTACATACACTAATGGATGCACGATCTAACCTTATCAGATAAGGAATTGTTAAATCATAACCATCGGGAGCTAGAAACTAGGTCCGCCGTTCCCGGCTCTGATCTGCTATGTGGTAGGTTAGTTACTTCATGAAATAATGTATCTTAATTTCTAGATCTTTTAATCTCTAGATCTCTAACCTCTAGATCTCTAACTTCCAACTACATATTTCCTCTTCAATTGCGCTGCTTAGCCATGTCTCTACCAAGAATAAAAACATGCGCAGTACGCCAAACTTTTCAATCCTCCTTACGTGACCTTTTCCTCCCTACGTTGTCCCTGCCGACCCGAAGACAATTCTTAAGCACGACTACGAAAAATAATGCAACGATATCATCGGCCTCGTCTTCTTCGACTGACCCGTCAAGATCCCGGCCTAAACGAAAGCCTCTGACAAAGGAGCAGCGCGATTTCCTCTCTTCAGCTGTAAGGCCGCCTTATATAGAACCTCGTTAGTCATTGAATTCCTACGACTCGTGCTAAGATGCCCGTCTATCAAGCTCCGTGTGAACCAAGCCGGAGAATTAGCTGCCACCTTGATCTATACCGCCCAGACGCCGCCGCTTGTCAATGCGCACCCCCATCTTCGGCCCCTACTAGCCCATATGTACGCCCAAGAAGAGGGCCACTTCAACACATTCAACTCTCTCATCGCTAAGCACCGCGTGCGTCCAACAGCCCTCTACCCAGTCTGGTCCGTCTTAGCATCAGGCCTAGGATGGTCGACGGCAGTTATGGGAAGGGAGGCCGCAATGGCTTGTACAGAAGCTGTCGAGACAGAGATCGGCGGACATTATAATAACCAAATACGGACATTACTAGAAATGTTCGAACAGTGGGAGGCCGAAGGATACGAAGTGGGCGAGGAGCTACAAGATCTAGTAACAACATTACGGAGGATACGAGATGAAGAGCTGGAGCATCTAGACCATGCGGTTGATAACGATGCGAAGAAGGCCGAGCCGCACTGGTTATTAACTGGCGTGATACGGCTAGGATGTAGGGGTGCAATTTGGGTCAGCGAGAGAATATAATGCTGTTATCTCGATGACCCAAATCAGGATCACCTTCTCAGACATTTGATGGTATAGCTCTAAGCATTCTCCAGGATCTCGTCTAGTTTTGACCAACTTGTAAGAAATGCGGCTTTGCTGCATAATATGATATTTTTATCTCCATTCGCCGATAGAGTCATCGGCGTATGACGCAGGATATGACCAATTAAAACCAGAGCAGAAGACTTATTAGGAAGGTCGTATAGTTTCTAGCTAACCATCTGAGCCTCGATTGGTTAATACACGAAGCTACCTGATTACATGGCATAGCTTAGACCGCCAGTTCGGGCGATACTCCGCAACCGACGACGCCGCTATAACTAGTACATACGGATTAATTACTTAAGGAGTAAGTAAATACCTATGCAATATGGCTTATGAAGGTCATGATTTTTGATCGTATATCAATTTAATACGGCCTCGTCTGCTCTTCGTTGGGATGAGTCGTCGAAAAGTCCAACTTATTACTTTAGGTACTCTTTAAGACCAAGTAAAAATTAGAGACTGGAAGGAAATAAATATATTTAAGAAATGGCGTTACCTTTTCCGATTCCCTCATCCCTTGCCAAAGGATTTTCCATGTCCCATTGCACAGCTGCCGATGTAGATATCATTACAGATATATACTACGATGCTTTTGCGATTGACAAACGCAACACCTTCTGGTGGCCGCCAAACAAGGAGGATATGTTTGCTTGGATGAAGCGCCGCATCCGCCGCAAGATGGATGACCGAAGCGTCCGACATTTCAAAATTACGGATGACCAGACCGGCGACGTAGTTGCATTCGCTAGATGGGGCATTCCCGAGGGCTACGAGAAATCCTTTGGGGAATGGGTCGGAAATAAGGAGACCACCGTGGACGTCTCCCAGATTGTTACACCGGGGGACGTTACGGGAGAGAACCCGCCAGCGAATAGTGTATCTGTCGAAGCTATCAACCCCCCTGTTGCAAATTACCCAAAAGGCAGCCGGCCAGAGCTATGTCAGGTCTTTTTTGATGCGCTGAAAGTCTCCTCGGATAAGCACAATGCGGATAAAATGTTGGGTGAGTAAAGACGACGATCATGGTTTGGATGTGTTTCCGTGGCTAAAGAAAATACGCACATGCAGGTCTATCACTTCTATGCACATCGCCTAGATATTACCGGAGAGGAGCCGCGAAAGCGCTGTTGCTACCCATGCTGGCTATCGCTGATGCTCATGGCCTCAGGTCCTATCTGGAGGCTACGCCTAACGGCAAAGGAGTGTATGAGAAATTGGGCTTCCGGGAGGTGGACCGGTTAACTTTCAACCTCGAGGAGTTAACAGGTAGGGAGGAATATGACGACCCATACCAGATCACCATCATGATACGGGAACCAAGATCGACATGATAGTATAGGCAAGGGGCTACTTACCTCTCTTAGCCTAAGCTTGAAGTTCGGCCTCGTAAAAGCGACTAACCTAAACTAAAGGCGCTGGGAAGTAAATATAGAACAGCTGCTTGCTAGATCAGGGATGTTGCAAGTGGTACCGCAAAGCAGAATGTTGATCTACTGTCCGAAGAAGACGCGATTAACAAATAGGTTATTTAGGTGAGTACAGTTTAAGACGAAGAGGGAGAAACTAGGTTCGCCGGTGTTATCTATAAATGAAATATATATATATATATATTAACCTATGTACTGACCCTCGCGAGTCATATAAAACCGAGCGTCTGGCGTAGACAATGTAGACAATGCAGACAATGCAAGCTACATAGGTCCACTGAATGATCATCATGTACCTGTGCCGAGAATAGCACATCTCGTATCACGGATTAAATAATATTTGCCTAAGTTAGCGGGCACGTATTGAGCTGATCAACGTCAAAAAGCTGCATACTAGGCTACATAAGACTTCCATTAATGATGCAATTAGGCCGGCAGTAGATAGAGCGAGGTAAGGCGAGATCCGATCGTTGCTCTACATCCATACGACCTTATATGCACATATCTCTCAAGGAAACGGAATGCGGATTCTTACTCGTACAAGAGATCTGCCAAGAGGAATGAGGCTATGTAGAAGATGATGCTCACCAGCCAGCAAGTAGTAAGATAAGGGTAACAGCTGATGTCAGAATTGGTTTAACGAATCCTATGCTTAGAAAACAGCCTCGGAAATGGGACGAAAACAAAATACCAAAGACAGACACGGAGGATTGTCACCTTGGTACGTTTTGCGGGGGATTCTCCAACAAACCCGAGAGAACAGTTAGGCGTACAGAATCCAGATCTCCAAGTTTTAATCCCGGGATACGTTCGACATATCCCTACATGGTGTGACTATGTATATAAATATATATAAATATTGAGTCTTGATCATTGGCTACCAACGAATCCGTCGAGGCATTTATTGTGTAAGTGTCTTTTCATATATACCTATGGTAAGCTATTACGAGCTTATTAGCCTTGCAATTCAGCCGAGATTATCTTACCAGCGTGATCAAAATCTGCAGACGCTATCTGACTTCTAGATCACTCTTCCGACATTGACATTTCCGAGGTTGGTCGAGCTCACAACGTGGAGCAGGGATCTTGGTCGAAAAGAGCAAAGATCAACCTGCTTCAGCAACCCCAGCCCATCTTGAACATTCCCTTTTATTAGAAGTAAGCTACAACGACTTGCTGATCCCACATCTATGTATAATATCTCTAAAGAATCTTGACGTATTCAGAGGATCCTACTCCTTTGGATTCTGCCTGCAATTCAGAATGGAAGCAACAAGCTTTCAGTTACCGAACCCGCCGGGCCCGTCTTCCACAACTGCTGAACGCAGGATGCTTACATACATACCTGTAAACCCCTATTGAGAATCAACATCAAGAAAACCTGCAATAGGATTATCAACCCGATGTAACCAATATAAACAAAAAAAAACCCTCCTTATCGATGTACCACAAGAAAAAAAACATGACTAGACTCGGGTGGTAGCATGGGATCGATAATGCACGGAGTACTGCATGTAAGACATCTAAACAAAGCTAGCAAGCAACGTGCCCCCCTGAAGTCTGGACCCCAAGTCTACCTCTCACTATGCATAATGCCCGGGATCTCTTAGATCCAACTCTCTTAGATCCCAACTACAACCTTGCAGTGCAGTGCCGTAGCGTCGATCAAAAAATGCTTAGCCTTCACTTCAACCAGTCCGCCGGCCGGATGGGTCGATGATGGAGGTGACCAGCCTTGCAAAGCCATGAGTGCTGGCCCCCTGGATCCTCGGAGAGACATCGAAGGAGCTTCTAGACTCCGGCCAGGAATGCAGGCATGTAGGAATGATAAATAGTCCGCTGCCACGCTCCCTAGAGATGAAGGCTCGAAAGTCACGCAATTGGAAACTTGCACACTATAGATCACGACGAGCAGACACTCACTAGTCGATTCAAAGACTAGAGTTGACAAAGAAACATTGGCATATTAATAGGGACCATTATATTGCCAATCTCGTCGTTGCTACCATGTTAGTCCACAGACAACTACTGTGGTGTGTCTTAGCATTCACATCACAAATGGCGAGCGGTAAGTTCTAATCCAATATATATATATATATACCTATATACCTACCTATATATCCCTTAATCAACATATTCTAACAAACCCCAGGCCTTGCTTTACCAACGCCAGCGTCTCCAAACGACCACGGGATCCTCCCAAGGGACGCCCTTAAACCTCGAGCCAAGGGATTCGGAAACGGAATCCCCCTGCGAATCATGCCCTTGGGAGCCTCCATCACCTTTGGCTTCGGATCCTCGGACAACAACGGGTACCGCAAAGACATCCGCGACAAGATCGAAGCCAACGGAAACAAGGTCAACATGGTCGGCAACAACCCGTCCGGGAGCATGAAGGACAACGACACCGAGGGCTGGAAGAGCTACACGGTAGACCAGGTGCACGACAAAGCCAACGTCTCCGTGCCCAAGTACAAGCCCAACGTCATCCTCGTCAACGTCGGCACCAACGACTGCGTGCAGAACAAAGACCTGCCCAACGCCGGGAAGCGCCTGCAGAGCCTGCTCGCCTCGCTGTACGCCGAGTCGCCCAAGGCCACCGTCGTCCTCTCCACGCTGCTCGTCAACAAGAACCCCGACGTGCAGGCCCGCGTCGACGACTACAACGCCCAGCTGCGCAGGGTCGCCGCCCAGCTCCAGAGCAGCAACAAGCGCCTCGTCCTCGTCGACATGCAGGGCCGCGACGGCCCCGGTCTCGACGATCTCAACTCCGACGGCACCCACCCCGGCGACGCCGGCTACAGGAAGATGGCCGATGTCTTCTACGACGGCCTCAAGGACGCCGATCGCCGCGATTACTTGGTCGCTGCTGACAAGGTCGACGGGCTCGCCGACGATGGCGCGTGAGCTACCTACCTACCTACCTACCCCGATACGGTTGGTATTTCCTTCGTGGGTCTGGAATGGATATCCAGGATGGATGTACAGGTACCAGGTCATATTCGAGCGTTTTCAGCATGGCGTTTCTCAATGGTGGGTTTATACGGCGAAACTTGATCTTGTTTTCGATGGGAATTACTCGCTCCTATAATAAATAGCATATACCCCTCCCATTATATTACACGTTATGTTATTTTATAAGGATTTCCGGTCTGGCTCTTGGGTTCTGTAATGAGGTTATCAGTTGAGCTTGTTCGAGAGAGAACACGTGTTAACTGAGGAAGTAATGGATACCCAAGTATGAATATTAAAGTTAGACTTGAATGAACAATTTCCGTAACGATGATTGAAACTGTATTAAAGTTTGTATTGAGGTAAACCTATATAAATCCAGAATTATCCGACTAGTTGGGGCCTCAAAAGCTCAAGGTGTAAGGGGTTAGGTTAGTTATTAAAAACCCCTCAACAAAAACCAGATGCAAAAATTTATCAAAGGTATAGTATATACCGCGGCCAAGGGGTTAAATATAGATTTCATGATTAAGGTATAACTTTCTATCCATGATAACTACGACTATCCTTCAAGCTCTATCATAATAATACAGTATAGCTGCCTCTTTAGGGAAGTTGAACTTGTCCCGAGGACTTATTATGTGTTCTGTGGTCATCCATATCTTTCCCTGTCGAAGTCTTCGACCCTGATACCTTGGCGGGGACATGGGCAAATAGGGTCAACGCTGCCTCGACAGGACTATGAAGCTCTGATACCCGGTTGAAACCATAAGTCTCTACCCCTTCCATCCTCTCCGAGTCGGACACAATGGTGCCATTCACCGCCGTCACATTCCGGAAGTAGAGCTCGGCAATACCACTCCTACTCTCCAGAGTAGCGTTCTCGCTGGAGCCACCAAAGTAGAAGATCTGATTGGTTGAGCCATAGCCAGAACTATTCCTACCATCTCCCGTCTGGAAGAAGAATGCAGTACCGTCGCGGTGGGTTTTAAGATGCGAAGTAGAGTACGAATTATTTCCAGTAGTGCTCCCTCCAAAAGCTTCGAGGCCTGTGGGGAAGACAGAGTTCCCCTCTACTTGAAGATCAAGTCCTTCTATTAGATGTGCACTTATCGTTAGGTTACCCTGGGGCGACCTTAAGTATGTTTGATTGCAATATAGCGGATAACTATAAATCGCCTTATAAGAGGAAGTAGGTCCGGTAGTAGAATCGGTTCCAGTAATGCTGAAGTCATTGATTTGAGTGATTCCAAAGTTCGACATCAGGGCTCGGTTCGAATATGAGAGATTTTGAGACCAAGTACTCTCTCCATTTTGACCCTTCGACTTGATAGATGATTTGATACTAATTGTCCTCTGAACGGTCATGTTAAAAGCCAGCGATTCGTTAAACCCTGTTGCATTCTGAGTAACTTGGCTCGAAAGCGAAATGATTGGTCCCGCGATCTCTACTGAAGGGCCGGTGCCGGTAGTCACCGATCCCTCTTCATCTAACCACACGAATATTTTACCCGTAACATACCAGCTGTCGTTGACCGTTTCTGTCAGTGTAAAGTCAGTAATATTTTCTGAATTATCTAAGCCGGCAACCCTAATAGCAAATGTGTGATCAGCTCCATCACACAGAGTAGGTAACCATGGGGTGATATCGATCTGATGCTCTCTTAAGTCAAAAGCCTGTAAACCAACGATGGGCCGATGCAGACTAGGTACCACTCCGCCGGTAAATATCACCGGAAACGGCCATTGGGCCCCAGCGAGCTTACCGTCGATGAGCAGTTGGACTTCGCGAAAAGGAGACAGTCCAGGTAGTTGTCCAGCAGTCTGGCTAAACGCGAGAGTATCGCTTTGGGGAACATTTCCCCACCAGAACTCCTCCGAAGCTTGTCCGTTGGCCGAGACAGCGAAGACAGCTCGATTAGCGTTTCGAGGAAAACTGATAGTGTTAGTCGCATCATCTGCTGGAAGCGTAAACTGGCTTGCCCCATTCGCGCCCCCCTTTCTCGCAGATATCGGGATAACCAAGTCTGCGGGAGGTGCTTCGTCAGTCCCAATATCAGCCATAAAGAAGGTAGCAGTTAGAGTGGCATTGAATGACCCGGTATACTTGTCATCTACCAGGTTGCCTAGGTCGAAAATTAATTTCTGGGGGGCTTTCCAAAAGTAACGGTACTCGGTCATATCCTTCAAGAATGTCCAACGTATACCTGGAGGTAATGTTGGCTCCGCAGTCGAAGTACGCCATACTTCGGTGTCGCCAAAATACATCAATGCCAGACGATCGAATTGGCGGCCTTGAGAGACAACAGTGAAATTCATAATAACTCGATTAAAAGAACAGCTAGGCGGTGTATAATTTCCTATTACTCATCAGCGATCGTTGTTTAACACACATACGTGAAAGTTCTGCCAGGTACCTAAGATAACGTACCAACGAATGGCGTGCCATAGCTGAATGCAAAAACATGTTCCATTAATAGGACTGAACAAGCCTTATCTGGCGAAGGGTCCTCTGCGGATTTGGGCCTACCACCGGATGGTCCATTGGAAGTAAGCACAGGTTGCGCAACTTGAAAGCACTCTAGCGGCGTCTGAGTTTGTAGCGAAGTAGGAATCGAACGTGAAATTTCAGGTTCAAATTCTGACCGGGTGATTTGTTTGAGATCTACAATAGAAGGACATTGCTTGAAATACAATTTTATAAACCAGGCGAGCGAAAGGAGGCCAAAAAGAGCCAAAATTAGCTTCAGCCTTGGCCGGTCCTCAACAGCGATGGCAGGTTTCCTCCAGGCATAGTAGTGTTGATGACGAGGCTGATGTTGAGGCTTGATGCCGGACGTTGCCTTCCCGGGAGTCCGGGGTATCATCTTGATGCGTATTGATGCGTATTGATGGACCTGAGAGGGAAGATACGTAATTAGCTACCTAATATTAGGTACTTAAGTATTTCATGCTAGAAACGAGTGGGTATAGCAAAGTTATAGCAAAGTTCGTGGTAGCCTGCTAATGAAACGTAAACGAGCGAAGATTGAATTGTCATTATAAGTCCAACTAAGTATAAAAATAGAATGTTGTGAGGAAAAGGGTTGTTTGTTTCCCCTTGATACATTATGTACCTAGGTCAGAGAAGGAGGTAATCAGGTCCTCGGAGCTTCAATCAAAGCGCGTACCTTAAGTACCTTATGTAGGTACCTAGGTACATACCTTAGGCATGTAAGTCCATCCGCCGTCATAACATGAAGATTACCTAAGACGAGGGGCAGTGTGTGGCTGTGATGCAAGTACATGGCAAGACACGGCGGGGTATTTTATATGCGTCGTTAAGTACCAGCATCTAGGTTCCATAACGCCTTACATGGAACATTGAAGTTTTGATATACATGTAACTATGTAGTTAGCATACATTCAAACAAAGTTTACCTAGGTAAAACCAAGAAAGAAAAAGGCACAAAACATTCCGAAATTTAAAGCTTGAGTATGGCTAATCTCATTTTATTAATATGTAATTTAAGCCTTCTAAGCCAATCAAAAATATGTATTGTACAATCCAATACTCATATCGGTAAGAGCACCTGTCTAACCTAGCGCTGTGTCTCCCTCGCACCTAAGGACATAACCGAAATCCCTATAAGTCAACCTTAGCGATCGCCATGAGTCTTGTCCCAATAGAGTGCTCTCGCGTTGATAGCTATTAGAGACATCGCACCGTCGAGATCTAGGTCTTGGAAGAAGTTGAAAACCGCGAATTCGTTTCTTGTCATGACATAACCTCGTCTTGTTAAGAGCTTCAGCCAGATCCCATTTAGCGCTTTTCCCAGTATGGTTGCGAGCTTTGGATTGTTAAGGGCATCGGTGCAATCTCTTGCGATACCTAGGGCCGTCATGACTCTAACTGTCGAGCCTTCGGGAAGACCAAACTCCGAATCTAGCGCAAGTTCAGACTCCAAATTCACGCGTAGTGATGAACTCTTCTTGCTACCTCCACCTGTTTTGTTAGCATATAGGATAGGTATGTATGCACGCCGAATCGGGATTTTCTAGTGTTGCAATAATCCAAGGCGCAGAGGGAATAATAAAGTAAAACGCGCAGGCAGCTAACATACTGTTCTTCGTCATATTTGGCAATGGTGTTGCTGGTTCTGAGTATGTTTTTATCCAAGATTGTGCTCTGTGATGTATGCTGGGAGACAAATTGGAATCGAGGAGCAGTTCTGAGTATATATAAGGCATGTAGAGTAGCAACTTCAATGAAGTCTAATCGTTAAAGGTAGCTCCTGGTCCAAGTATAGTTGATGAATAGATATGTAGGTATACAGAGAATAAAATAAAGTATTAGGTTAGGTGCTGGTATATGAGCTAAGTTGAAGTTTAGGTCCGCGGGTGCGCATGGGTATCTAAAGGTATGTAGGTAACCTAGGTAATTTCTCTTATTTCGAGCAGGCCGTTACCTTTAAATAATTAAAAAGCATACTTCCTTCCGACTCAAGATACCTGATGCATACCTACCTACCTATAATGAAAGACTAAAGTTGATCCTTCGAAGTGAAGCTAACCCTGGGGCCATCCGGTTTTCTTCATCAAGTTGCATGTCTATATTAGTCTAGTGGACCTCTGGCTAAGAAACGTGTTTCCTGCCATTGACATTGGGGTCCTTTACGGCTTCTAGAAGGCTGGCATATGGCACGCTAGAGGTAGCCCATCTACTCGGTGATCTGCTAAATCTGATCGACAACGTGTTTCGAGTCATGATTTTAGTTTTTGTTCTTATTCTCCTACCACTATTCCATTTCCCCGGGATCACTGCATGCGCTTTTCAGGACAATGGATTCCGTAGTAACGTCTGGTCCCGTACACGCAATCCCTGCAACAACGTGCTGGTTTTAGATACAACGACCTTATTCAGGCACATGACATATATATTACGATCGAGTAAGTTTCACCACGACCACCCGAGGATTTTGACTGTTCTCTAGGGAAACTAGTCATGGTAAGCTGAGTTATGTCCGAAATGGTCGAATGGATGATTATAACTGACAAGTAACCTTCCTTTACTATAAGAGAATGATCAATCATACGAGTAAGATATAACTTTTTAATATTCTAGGAGACTTGTATTTGACCGTTGAGTTAGGATTACGCATATTGTGATGGATTATAAGGCTGTTGTCTTGGTCCTCTCATCAACTGCTGTTGAGACTTAACTATGGCTATACTAATCCTACTGCAATAGAGCTGCGGAACACTATAGAGGATATGATGGATGGCGAGATTACCGTTACCCATGCTAATATGTCTTATTGAACTTTATTCTTAATAGAGGCACTTCTCTTATACCAGCTAACATATTTCCGTTGCGCTAAATTTCCATCCCACATGGTCAGTAGCTTGAGACTATTTTTACTCTAGTAGTAAGTAGTCTTAAAGGATCATAATATCCTGGCCTATGGCATACGGGCTGCATTACAAAATTATCCCCAATAAATAGGCTAAAATATAATAGGACTTGATATTTTCAGGGGAAGCCGAGCTTAACTACTCAACTAGGTTACCTGGTTGTATTCAATATTAGATGTCTCTTTTGAACATGAGTTGCCCCTTGTAAAAAAAATCCCAACTAGCTGTAACTTTATTCTCCATCTAATATCCTGAATTCGTACTTGGCTCTCGCGCTATCTAACGCGAATTGCTGAAGTAAACGAGAGCGTACGTAGTTGGATCCACCAACTCGTATGTAGTCGAATAGAATATCTTCTAGTGAGATGAAATCGAAGCCAACTCAAACTTTAACGAGTTGTGTGTAACTTTTGAATCTACCGCATGTTGCCGCCTTATACCAAATATCGCTGAACAGGGTCAAACTATTAAACTAGAGTAGCTACCGGCTTCCCCGTAACCAAACTAGCTGCGTTTACTGTTGGTGTTGCGCCTCTTATGTAGGTACCTAAACAACATTCTAGATCGTTCCTTAACTTGTTCTTCGCGTAAATTATACAGAGTGCATCCTCGAATTAGTTAATTTTGGTTTCGACGTTTATCTTCTATGTGGAGTGAGTCTAATGGTCTTTAATCGATCGTACATCCCCTCAGGCCTATTTTACAAGTCATCCGTTCAGGCATTAAACCATGTAAGGATACTTCATAACTCACGAAGAGACTGCTGTGACTAACAAAGCTCTCGTTTATTGGAGAATAGACTCCGGTCACCGCTTGCTTGGTCGCTTTCCGATTTTCCAGCCCCATGACCTAAGGACCTTCACTACCTTAGGCGTTATCGCAGCGGTTAAGGGTACTCGAAGGAATATGAAGCTTTTATGCACCGCATAAGCAAGGGCTAACTGGGTCCCGAGACCTACGAGTTATGTGAGTAAGGTTGAGGGTAGATGCATCCTTCTTGAAACTTACTGGCTTCGGCCTTGTGCCGTTTCTCAGCCTCCTCTACACCCCAGCCAGCCATCTCGACATCTTCACTGACCTCGCTGTCTCCGAGGTTTTCCTTTTCGGCTTCTTTGAGGGCTTCGCGGTATTCACGCCACCTAGTCCGGACGGATTGTGGTATTAATTTGGAGGCATTTGATACGACCCAGTGTTCGATGGCGCCTAGGTTCTGTCAGTGATATCCCCTCTCTCAGTACCATTAACACGGACCTATCCTATCTGTCCCTACCGACCGCACCAGTAGGAAGCAGAACGGAAAATCCAAAACAGTTAAGCCTAGATAAACTCCTAAGGCGGCCCAACCATATTCTCTTGATAGTTTCTTTAGCCTTGCTGTAATCCCCTGCGGTTCTTCAACTGGAGCATTTTTCGGGGAGGATTTTGCGTCTCGTAAGCGGGAAGTTCGGTGAAATGATCGTCGGGTCGAGCGCAACGGTAATTTGGAAGATTTAGATAGAAAACTAAATATCGTTGGTCGTCGTATCGCAAATGAGGCAGTTTTTGAAGCAGGGAATAGCACAGTCTGTGGTGACCCGGAGACGAAAGTGCGCTTCCATGCCGCTCTCCCCAAGTTTGGTGTCGTCTGTTGTAGTATATGCGCCCACATTGGTTGGAACAAACGGGAGTAAACCGGAGGCATTTTATATAACCTCTTCTTAAGAGTTAGTAAATACGATGTTTACGTCGAATAGCCACGGGTATAGACACGGTAGGTAGGTTGTAAACGTAGAAAGAAGTAAGAAGTATCTGATAATAGCGCCGGTGGATTCGGACGAGAAGCTTCGGAAGGTTAGTGAGACCTATATCCGGTTACGCCGCCAGGAACATTGCGGGACGTAGCTAATATAAGATCCGATTGGGCGTTACAAAGGAAAAGGAAAAAAGCATTCCCTACCTCGTGACGGTTGCCAATTATAAATTGTTCAAAACCGTAGCTCTTTCGAAGGACAGTATTATCATGACACGACGGTGAGCTCAAGAACTCGGGACCGGGGGAAAAAAATTAAGAGCTCTGTTCAATAAAAACGTAGTACGTACATGCATGGTGATGCAACGAGGTGTCAACCCAGTCCCAAGGATGTACCTAGGTACCAACCTGTCTTGAATCCCTTAATGCCCGAAGTTTTAACGAGGGTCATCATATTGGATCGCTTCCCCATTTTTTGGAAGGTCGCGTAAATTGGAAGTTTGGATAAAGATGAGGCCGAATGTGAAATAGATTATTTTAATTACCTAAAATATATAAACGGGAGAGAAATCTAACGAGGTAAAAGCCTCTTAGCAATTGATATGGTGTTTCTTAAGTTGTTTCTCTAAGACCACACTGCCATCGCGGAAGGCTATTAACCCCGTGTGGTATCGGCTAAAGCCTGGGCGATAATGATGCTTCGAGATAGGAATGGGTTTATATAGGACATGTCAAATCACAATTCTCTTTAGAGGCGCTACATGTTGCAAATGATAAAACATTTCTCAGGTTAGTTAACTGAACTATAAATGGATTGGGATGCAGAAGATGCAGGGTCCCGCGCGGCTCGCGGTTGCTGGGTCAAAGTGTTAAACTTGGGGAAACCATAAGAGCCAATCATTCGGAATTATGAGATCTTATCGGGAACGGAGGCTTCAATGATGCAGGTGGTGCGGAGTCGCGAGATATCGGCATGATTGGCCCGCCCGTGGGCTGGCTGCCCGGCCAACCATGGATTCAGTGCGACACTGATGTCCAAGGATACTATGTACAACTTGGTGCAGGTTTTTTTTGTGTTTGATTGGATTTAGAACTCAAAGAAACTTGGTAATAATAATAACAATGTAGGCCGCATCCGAATGATTTAAGAATCATGATAGAATAATTAGTTCTGTATCCGTAAATCTCGAGTAACCATTTAAACTTTCGCCTTGTCAGTCCGCGTTCAAAAAAAAAAAAAGTCGAATTAGCACATGCATTGCAGGTTGTTGTATACCGTATACGTCACTACTTCTAGAATAGTAAGGAAAAATCCAATGAGGTCATAGTTTGCGAATTCAGAAACAGCAACAGGATACAGAAGCAGCAACAGATACATTAGGTAGGTACAGAAACAGCAAAAGCAGCATATGGCATATTATTGTAAAGGAACTACATGGGGAAGGTAAGCTGTTATCCCGCAACTGCCGATCACAAATCACCTGGTCATCTTTTCTTTCTTTCACTGCATCTCTAGTGTGCATCTCTACATCTTTACATCTTTACATCTCCATAACATCTCCATACATCTCTCTCCAGTCTCCAGTTTCTAAGCCTTTTTAGCAACAAACATCGATGCGCATCATTTGATCGACATCAACCAAACTCCATAGCTTAGACTCGAACTATCGACCAATAGCACACCCTCGTCAACAGATTAAATCACAATTCCTCCTCGAATCCAAATCCCATCTTCCGTCATTAGTAGGACCATCTATCCCCGTTATTCCCCGCGAGCGCCACAACAGCCAACCTAAGTCTTCATCGTTTACTTTCGTCAGTAAACCAGCTCAGCCAAGCTACCTTAGATATCTACAGAACATACCCACCTAGACGCTGCATATAGTCGTCGGTCATCAATCCGTCTTACAACTCGACAATTTGTCGACGAATAGGCGCTCAAATCTTCATCTATAACTTTTGTTACCAAATAACCACTTTACCATCTCGCGAT